GGCACTATCATTCTGCTTGGGCCGAATTACTTGATTAAAACGCATATCAACTATTATGTGATTCGTTTTCTGCCTCTGCTCCACACCACAGCCCTCTAAACTATGTTAAACTGTAATACAGCTGCACAGGCACGAGCAAATGCTGGAGAATGGGGAGTTTGCAGGTTGGAAAGGGGAGGGAGGGGGAAACCCAAGCTTTATTGTATGTGCTGTGTCGCTGATTGGTTTTGTGTGTGTCTGGGAATGTGCTCGGACAGGGGCAGAGGGGTGAGAGATGAATTTGAAACACCTCTGTCCCCTCTTTGCAGTCCCACCTGCTGTTGGATGGGCTTGGAGGTGAGCGGGGTTATTCTGCAAACAAATACACATCTCTTCCTCATTGTGAACTCAAGACTTTATCATCTTCCAAGGAGAGAGAGAAAAGACTTTTCCTGTTTTCACGTCAGAAAGAAAAATCAAGGCAATACAGTTCTGTTCCTGTGATGCTGCCACTGTCTCTCTCCTTCTCTCAGGCTTTCCATAGGCTTGTTTGCATTTTGATGGGTTTTGTTTGCTTTCTGCCAGAGGGAAAGGCAGATGCTAAGAAGACAGGCAGAGTTTCAGCTCTTGCTCCTGAAGCTGTTGGCTGCAGATCTAGCACAGGAGCCATGCCCTGAATAAATGGCTGCTTCCTACTGACCCTTGTTATCCCACCTGGGATGCTAGCTTGCTTCTGGGAGGTGTGCACTCCTACCTCCCTGCTCCTATATGTGCTAGAGGACAGTAGCAGAGCCCTCTGCTACATCCTCATCTAACCTTGCTCTATCCAGAAGCTCTGCTATGGATGTGCTGGGCTGAAGCACACCTTCTGTCGGTCCTGGCATGGCACACAGGCTAGTTGCACAAGCAGGTGGTGAAAAAAGAGCATGGAAACAGCAGCATCACAGATCTGGCCTATGGCCAGTTACAGCCTCAACCTGCTAAATATACTGTGGGTGCTTGAGAACAGAACAGGAAAGAACAGAATAACGTTGTGGATGCAGTGAATACATGCAGATCTTTTCCTTGATTTATTATTTCATGCCCTCACAGAAATCAAGAGAGATTTCCATCTGTGAGATGGGTAGCTCCTTTTTGCCTCATGATAATGTGGCTCTGTTTATTAAGTCAAGCAAAAGCATTATGTTGCAGGTGAAGCTGCCCCTTCCGAGGCTATTGAGAGCCTCTTTATTGTCGTCCATCATAAAACTGCCTGACCTGAAACTCAGGTATATACAGAACTAGAAAAACATGCACGTATTTCATTGTTGGGGAACCAAGAAAGGCTCCTTTGGTGGATGGAGAGCTTTGTGAGCAAGGGGGGACCTGGCATAGTGCTCTAATGAGGGGATATTCAGATCTCTGGGATACCACCAAAGTGAGATTTGCCTTCATTCTTGTGCCATCCAACCCAATTTCCCCTGGGGCACCTTCAGCTTCCCAGCTGTCACCTCCAGCCCCGCTTTTTTGGAGCATCACTGCTGCTCCAGCAGTGCCTGGGTGGGTTTGCTGAAGCCATTTGCAGCACAAACAGCGCAGTTACAGCTCAGCCATCCACAGCACCGTTCCCTTCTTCACCTCTCCTCTCCAACATTTAATTTTTAGGATGGTGCAGCTGGAAGCGAGAGAGAAAGAGAGAGGAAATGGGAGAGAGAGGGTGACAAAGAGATGAGAAATACTGAAGGAGAGCGCATGTGGTTTCCCTCTCCCCTCCAACAAAATCCAATCCCCACTTTAATGAATGCGTTTTCATGTCTGGTCCTGCCTGCCAATCCTTCCAGACGGCACCAAGGTGCTTCAGGACGAGGCAGCAGGTCCTTGTAGGGCATCAAGGGCTCAGTCTGAGCCTGGAGGGTCTTCTCGCGGCCGATTCGACCTAATCCTGTTGATTAATTTAACTCTGGGGCTAAGAGGAGCCCAGAAGCAGTGAATGGAGCTGGAGTGGAGAAGGGAGGAGGATGGGAAAGCTGAAGAGGGAGGACAAATCCAGCCTGTAATTATGGAGGCTTTTCCTTACTCCTCTCCTCCAGCCTCAGTCGACTTGTGTTCCTTTCAAACCCCTCCAGAGTGCTCTGCTAATTGTACTCCAACCTGAACCAGCAGCGTTTCTCAGGAATGTTGAGTTTGTGGGCCATAATTTACACATCTCCTCCTGCCAGAATGGGCCCAAGACAAGCCCAGGTGTGTATATTTCACCTGTCCTATGTCAGTAGGGACACCTGCAGGCTCTGGCCACACTTCTTTCAATGGAGAAGAGCCATTATGGATCAGTTCATCCTGCAACCTACGCATTTTTCTCTTCATTTTCCTTTCTGAAGTTTTCCCATCTCTTCACCTCTCCCTTCTTTCTCAGCCAGTAGGATAGCAGGGGGAGCTGTGAGCAGGCAGCTAGCTGCTTCCCATCCTCCAGCATCATTAGTGATCAGTAGGAAGCTGCTGCCAGGTACCTCTCCACCATTCTATTGACAGTGTGCACGTTGCTGCCTGTGCTGAGCAAGTGTCAAACTCTGCCAACATGTGCTCCCACAATACCCCATTGTTCTAGAGGCTGCAAACTGAGTTTCTCCCTCTGCTTGTGCTGTTTGGAGTGCAGTGTGTCTGTGTTTCACATGGAGATGTGGAGCAAGAAATGAAGCACTCAGGTTTTGGATGGATCCCCTGGATTTGCTTGGGAAGGGAGGTTTCCTTGAGTTACTCCTGCAGCTCTGGGAAGCTTCTGATTGCACAGAAACTTCATGGAGATTATGGCAACGGTTTGTCCAGCACGTTTAGGAGTGGAAAAGACCTGTTTGATCCTCGAGTCGTGCGTTAGGCAGGTAAGGGACAGTCCCTGTTATCAGGGGATGCTCTAATAACAGGCTCATATTGCAGTCTATTTCAGCCAAACGACTTTCTGTATTATTTAGTGAATCTGTGGCTGACAGCAGCAGCTGCATCGTACTGAGACCAGCTGGTTCCAGGCGTGCCCTGGGATTTTTCTTGCTCTCTTGGTTTTGTCTTTGTAGTCGGGCTGCTGGAGCCTTGGACTTGGCACGAGGAGCTGCGGCTTCTTTTCCCAGCTTTGCTCCTGACTCATGGGGTGACCGTAGGTGGGTGACTTCCTCCATCCCTGCCACGGCTGTGAAATGGAGATAATGCCAGCTGGGGGCTGCTCGCAGTCTCACGGATAGAGAGTGTTACATCAATTTATGTGGCAAGTTTGGGCTTTCTCTCTTTCTGGCCCTGTAGCCAGGGTGATGGCCAGAGCGGTCACCGGTGCTGCTGTGAATAGGACAGATTGTTACTGGTGACAATTGTTTTCCTTTCTCAAATCCTTAGAGTGAATCAGGGATGTGGACTTTCCTCACCTGGGGAGATGCTGGATCCCAGCCTTGCTGTATGCTGTGTAAGCAGCTGCATCAAGAAAGCAATGAACTGTTGTACATAGCACAGCTCACAATGCATTTTCCTTCTCTCTCACTGACCCTGTCACATTCTGAGCCAAAACACAGCTCTGTCCTTTTTTTGTATCGATTATCAAGAAAGAATCCTAATTAAACCAACAATAGCCAGTGACTCATGTGATCAATGTGCAGAACTCTGCCGTGTGCTGCAGTTTTCCAGATGTGCTTTGGCACAATGCAGTTCTCCAAGCTCCAGATGTGCTCCTACCTGCCCCAAATCATCTGGGGTGCAGATGTGCAGGGCTGCTGTTCTCAAGTACAGATGTTCCTCTCACACCATTTGAGATTCCAGACTTTTCCTGATCACGGATGCGATCAGAAAGCTGGTTAATGAACACAAGTGGAGTTAGCTCAGCTCTAACGTTGTGTCCTCGAGACATAAAAGCATTTTTGTCCCGCAGCAAGCAGAACGCAATGGCATTTTGTGATCTTCTCAGCACAAACAAGTGAGCTCCGGTGGGATGTTTGCCTCCTACTCCTCCAAGCAGAGCAGCTGTTGGGGAGGCACAGCTGCCATTCCCAGCTCTGAAAAGAAGAAGGCAGATTTCGGGTGATGGTAGCACAGGAACTGAACAAAAAGTTCAGTTGGATCCTCGGGGGCACAGCTTTGAAATCCAAGCTTTGCTCCAGCAAATGCTGGAGACATTGGTAATGCTGTTGCCAGTGCGTTCCATCCAAAACCCAGTGGGTCTGAGTGGAATTTGGGTGAAAATCTGTGCCTTCTGCTTCATTTCTAAGCCAAATAGGAAGAAAAAAGAACAGAATGAGTTTTGCTTATTTCAGCTCTACTGTGAGGGAGAGAGAAAAGCAAAGAGATTGAGGGGAGCTGGGGCTCAAGAAGGGAAAGGCAAAGGTCCAGAGCAAGGCAGGGGAGAGGAAGGAGGTGATCAGTTAGACCTTGGTGAAGGACTTCGATGCTATTTTCACGCTCTGAGAGTCTGACTGTGCAAAATGACTGCTGAAATCTGCAAAGTAAGAGAAGAAGAACTCTGTGGATTGGGCAGCTCAACCCAGAGATGAAGCAGAGATGGCAATGTTTTTCCCAGCTGGAAAAAATTCCTAATAACTCTCTTTTCCCTCTCAAGGTGCTTTAAAAAATTGAAATCTCAAGGGCTAGCACTTCACCAAAACACAGGAGGAAATCAGACAGCAGAAGCCAAGCCATCATATATTGAAAATCTTTATGTTCTTATCTTTCAGATTTTACGTATTTTCAGTGTAAAATGTACAACACTTAAACACAGTCCCTTCAAACCAAAAATGGAAATCACTCGAGGTAGCATAAGTCAACAACAGGAAGCTCTTTCACCGTGGGCTGGGCATCATCCCTTTGTGCAAACGGTTCTGGTTTTGATAGATTGGCTCTTAACAGTATGGGGAAAGATAATGGGAGAAAGTAGTGGCAGTGGTGGAAAACTGGTAGATGTGTCGTATGTAGGCAGAGCATTTGTTTCGGTGGACACCATCGCTGCAGCACTGAGGTGTGCCCTACAGCCCTGTCTCTCATTAAGCATCATTCCCCCCTTCTTGCCCACCCAGGGAACAGGCTGGATGAAGGCTCCGATGTCGAATCCGAACCAGACCTGCCTTTGAAGAGGAAGCAGCGCCGCAGCCGGACCACTTTCACTGCAGAGCAGCTGGAGGAGCTGGAGAAGGCCTTTGAGAGGACTCACTACCCAGATATCTACACCCGGGAGGAGCTGGCACAGAGAACCAAGCTCACCGAGGCCCGTGTCCAGGTAGGAACCAGAACCCTAGGATGAGTCTGACGGCACAGCTTCTTGTTTCCCTTGGGGAGAGAGACAGTAGCATTGGGGATGGAAGGTGGAAATTTGGATGGACCTCTTCTCTGGAGCCTCAAACATGAGAATCTGAGGCTAAAATCCAGTTGTGTGCATTCCTGCGTTCCCATGGGTTTGCAGTTATGCCATTTGGGTTTGGCTTCTTGCAGAGGTACCAGCTGCAGGATTTCCATCCAGGTTGGGATGAGGAGCCAAACGTTTCCCTTCTTGGCAAGGCGCTTAGCTCTCTGTTTGCTGTGTGAGGAAATTCCTCGGAGGAAGCAGCATGTGTGTGTTTGTATTTGGTGCTGGAGGAGAAATCGTGCCATTGACCAACCTTGCCCAGGGGAGCAGATCATATTCTGCAAAGTTTGCAAGATGCGTGTGTGAATTTTCATCAGACTTTCTTTTTTCCACCCCGATCTCCAGAGAGGACAAAAAGGGAGGGGGGGGGAGGGAAGAAGAGGGGAGGAGCAGGAAGGGAGGGTTTGGGGCCGGGGGACTCTGACATCTACACGATTAATAGCCCTTGTGGGAACTCCACACAGAGACCCTTATGTCTTCCAGATAAAGGCTGGGTCAGCAGTGTGTGCAAACACGCAGAGGGATCAGGAGTGTGAACAGATCGGGGGGTATAATAGGGTCCCTTGGGGAAAGGGAAGGGAAGGGGGAGGGAATGGGGATTGTGCTGGGTTAGAGAAGTGAAATGGAGACCCCAGCAGTCCGAGCTCTGCGTGGCCGTGCGGTTGGGTTTCAGGCTCAGCACTGAGCTGTGTGCATGCAGGCAGAGCCAGGCGAGGAGAGAAGGAGCACAGCGGGCTTGTGGCAAGGCCTGTTAGCCAGCCCCTCCAACACAGAACAGCCTTTTATTTTTGTCCTGTGGATCTCAGCATGATGAGCTTCGTGTGATTGCCACAAGCTCGCCCCACGCTGTCTGGACAGGGATGTTTGCCCTCCTGTGCACACCTGGGACATTCGTGGGTTAAAAGCTATTCCCAACAGCACTGTGGCAGCTGCTTTCTCGCCTTCCAGCTTCCCCTTGAGAGGGGAAATCCAGCATCCAGGGTCTGCTTGATAGAGCCAGCAAAAAAGAAATCTCGTGAACTGACTCCAGCCAAAAAAAACCTTATCTGAGTTTTCAGCAGGAGTAGTGATAATTTGCTAGACATACAGGACTGTAGATAGATGGAGCCTGGGAAAAGTGGCTAACTTAGGGGCTAAGCCACCAGAGGTTGTACTATGTCATTTCCCCCATTTTTGTTTTGCATATTCTGCTTCTAAGAATTCCTTGCATAGATTGACACGGGATTTTTTTTTTTAAGGGAATATCTCTTAATGAAGCACACGAAATCTGCATTGCACGAGCTGTGATGGAGAGGAAGGGGAAAGCCCCAAAAGTACCAGGGAGTGCAAAAGCCAGCAGCAGGTTCTCTTTCTTCCAATCGGTTCTGACCTCACCGTGACAAGGCTGGGAGAAGGGAGGGAGGCGAAAGCAGAGAAAGGGAAAGCTAAATAAATAAATAAGGGGAACCTTTCCCTTGTTTCAAGCTGTGATCTCTGAATCCCCCTGCTTGCTCCCAGGCAGCTCGCGTGGAGGTTCCTGCCAGGGCTCTAGTAGCAGCTGTTCTCTGAGGCACATTCCTGATGGCTTTCTCATTCCGACATCCTGGCAGGCTCAGCTTCTTCCCACCACTTTTAAGCCTGCCGCCCCTTGTAAAATTTTCTGGATATCAGAGCAGATCTTTTACTGGCTCTCGGGACCTACAAACATTAGTCAATCAAGTTCTTGTGGGGGGAAGAAAAGCCACACACACACACATATATCCAGCAGGGAAATCTTCCACCACCTTGTACTCTTAGCCCTGTTTGGGAAGAGGTTTTAAGGTTAAGAAATTGCACTTTGGGTTTGAGGGAGCTGTAACGATGGTAGGACCAGCTGAGATGAGGAGTTCTGGGCGTTAAGGGACAGACTTTGTCCCCAGGAGCATTTTGTGTTAACACGGGAGGAGGGTAAATGAAAAATACATTCAGAATAGATGATCTTGGAGGTCTTTTCAAACCCTCTATGAAACACAGTTCTACAGCTGCCGTCAGGCTTTCTAACTGTACTGTGTATGGGCACAACTTCTGCACAGCGTCCCATTGAGCTAATTGTTACATCAGCACTGGACAAAAATAAGCAGGCTCGTCCATGCTTCTCCTCGCTTCTTTCTCTTCCTTTACCATATGAAAGACGAGCTTGCCCAGCTCTCACTCAGTCTCTCTGATACCTGAGTGCTCCTGTAGTGTAATCTCCTCCACGTGAAAAGCTGATAGCTCTGTTAAACTTTATTGGCAGACCTTAGAGTCCGGCTGGTCATGCAGCTGTCCAGCTAAGTGGAAGTTTGACACGTTGACAGCTAATAAAATTCCCAAGCTGAACAACAAGAGGAGGTGGAGGGGGAGCGCTCCCAAGCTCCGGTTTCTCATCTGCTAGGAAGATCACGGCAGGGTGAGCAATGCTTCAGCAGGGTCAGTGCAGTGTCTGTGTGGCTGGGATGTGGGATTCCAGCTCTCAAGCTACAACACGCCGTAGGGTCCGAGCCATTCAAAGGTTAATCCCAAATTTGATGTAGACAGGGACAACGCCGCCGTGGATTTCCGCTAGAGCAGGATTTCGGTTCCAGATTGGTGCCAAACGAGGCCACCAGTGGAAATTCCCACTTGTTTTCGTGCAAGGCGATGCCTTGACTCATGTGCCCACACTAATTGCCCAGCGCTGAAGGAATTCCTGCCCATCTGCAAGCTCCTGTTTTCATCCTACCAGCAAACAAGCTGCCGAATGCCAAGCGTTCATGGCTTTTTAAAATTAAGCCTAACAGCTAAGCAATTCACTTAGTGAATTTAATGGAAGCTTTGGGTTTGATCTGCAGTGTATTTTGGGGTTTTACACTGTTTTTTTGCAATTATATAACTGGCGATGACAATGTTTTACATGGAAGAGAAACCGAACCAACCTTAATGGGATTCTCTGATAATCTTGAAACTTTTCTCCCTGGTATTTCTAGAGAAGGGACAATTTTGAGAACAGCCCTTTTCTCATAGTCTCGGCTTTGTCAGTACAGCATTTTTATAGTGGGAGAACAGTTTTGTCAGAAATCCTTACCCAGGTGTGGAAATAATTTCTCAAGGTGACAGTGCCCAAGGAGACACCGGGTACATCAGTCATGGCTCTACAGAGGTGAACCTAATCCCTCTCGGAGTTGATCCCATTTGTTGGGTCTGTTTGCCCAAACACTGTTGTGCTTTTAAAGCAAGTTATAAACAAACAGCGGGTGCTTATTTCACTTTGGTGTTTGAGCAACATCAACAAAAAGAATGGATGTCCCCCGATCAGCCCCACAATCCAGAGCCATTCAGAAGTTTGTATGTTGGAAATGGAGACCTCGGCGCATGGGTTCCCGCACAAACAGCCCCTTTCCCTTCGCCCTGGTGCTGTGGTGAGTCAGACGTGATGGGTTCCAAAGGATGATCTCAAAATCCTTTCCCAGAAACCTACGCAAAATCATCTCCTCCCTTCCCCCCCAAAAATAGATGGTTTTGCTTCTCAGCATCACCTCTGAGTGATTCAGGTGGTGACACCACAGAAGCTGGGGACAGGCATGCATTCCACCAGCTCTGTTAATCCTAGAAAGATGGAGTCATAGAATCATAGTTTGAGTTGGAAGGGACCCTGAAGGCTGTCAGATCCAACCCCCCTGCAGTGCACAGGGACACCCACGGCTCCATCAGTGCTCACAGCCCCATCCAGCCTGACCTCGGGTGTCTGCAAGGATGGGGCATCACCACCTCTCCGGGTAACCTGTGCCAGTGCCCAGAATTAAATCAGGAGGGGTGGATTTGTAGCCATGTTGATGTCTGTTGTTAACCCCCAGGAAATTCCATGCACTGAGAAACAGTTATTTCAATAACAAAATTAAACGAGAGAGCAGGAGTCGCAACCCAATGCTTTATTGATCATTTTTATGATGGATCCCATTGTGATTTCTGCCTGGGAGTAAATGGATGTTTCATTTAATAAAAAGGCTCAGAGCAATTCTGTCTCTGAAACCTCGTTGCATTTCTAGGCTACTCACATCATCTGTATTTTATGACACACTTTCAAACAGTAGTAAACAAACAGCCATACTCCAGATCATGCTGCGATGGCTCCGACATGCCAAATGGAGCACCAGAAAAAAAATTCCATTCCATTTTGCTCAAGATTTTGCACGAAGCCGTTCTGTTCTCAGGATCGGAGGAGCTGCAAACCACTGTTCCCTTGTTTTGTAGCAGCTTCCTGCAGTCTGTTTTCCAGGTTACCCAGAGAGCTGTGGGTGCCCCATCCCTGAAGGTGCCCAAGGTCAGGTTGCATAGGGTCCTGGGCAGTGTGAGCTGGTGGGGGGCACCCAGCCCACAGCAGGTGGTTGGAACTGGATGGGCTTTAAGGTCCCGTCCAACCCAACCTTTCTGTGGTTGTGTGATTTCCCAACAGCTTCTCAAACGTCTTTGCTCTGTGCTAGAGGGGTGCTCTCGCACCAGCTGTGGTCAGAGGTCCGTGCTTTGCTTTCTGAAGGCAGAGGTGATGGATGGAGGGATGGGGTGGTGACAGGCAGCTCTCCAAGCTCTGAGCATGAGCTGGAGTCATGCAAAGCGGTGGGAGCCTGATGCTGTTTGCCTGGTGTTTTGCTTCCCAAACCCTTTGAGATGTGTCCAAACAGGCTCTTTTGAAGCAATCCTCCACCCTTAAAGGTCAGCTGAGAATGTTTTCTTTCTTCCTGAGGGTCCCACTCATTTACACTTCTTGAAGAGAGCTGCGAGGGGGTTATGACACAACAGCTGCCCCGTGGTTTTGGCACTGGTGCAGTGCTGCGGAGCTGGGAGCGGGGGCTCTCCTTGGCAGAGCTGAGCTTGGCAAGCTCATTTTCCAGGGCACAGAG